TCCTTGAGCTTTTTACCTTTCATCTCCTGCCTAGTTTTCTCAGTCCCCAGCCAGGACCTCTGCAGGTCCGACACAGAGCTGACCCCTCTGACTTGGTGCAAAGCTTCCTGGGAGGACACTGGGCACTTTCTCATCTTCCTATGTCAGTCTCTCTTGAAATAACAGCCTGAACTTCACTCCTGCTGTTCACCAGCTGTGAGAGCCCTAGCATCTTACTTGCCATCTGAGATTTGGTTTTGCATCTAGAAAACAGAGAGAAGGATGCTAGTCTCACAGGACAGTTGTGTGGACTAAATGCACTGGCCCGATGTCAAGGCATTTGACCCTTTGAGGCTGGGGTTCTTTACCAAGGACTCATGGACAGGTTTGGGAGTTTTTCATGGTGCTGGTGGTGGTGGTGGTATGCCGTGGAGGCGGTTCCAACTCATAGCGACCCTGCATGGGGTTTCCAAGGCTGCAAACCTTTACAGAAGCAGAAAGCCTCATCTTTCTCCCACAGAAAAGCTGGTCATTTCGAACTGCCAACCTTGAAGTTAGCAGCCCGACTTGTAACCAATATGCTACCAGCTCCTTGGGGGTTTTTCATGTTGTTGTTGTAGTTATGTGCCGTGGAGTCGGTTCCGATTCATAGCAACCATGCATAGGGTTTCCAAGACTGTAAATCTTTATGGGAGCAGAAAGCCTCATCTTTCTCCCGCGGAACAGTTGGTAGTTTCAAACTGCTGACCTTGTGGCTTGCAGCCCAATTCGTAACCACTACGCTACCAGAGTTCCTTGGGGATTTTTCATAGACCTCTCGAAATTGTGTGTCTTTGTAAGTACACAGTTATCCATTTCCTGGAGAGAAGATTCATACTTTTTATTTTTACTTTTTATTTTTATCAGACTGAGTTCTCAGAGGAGTAAATGAAAACCTTAGAAAGTTAAGGGCTTTCAATGATGATATAGTCACACTTGTGGCTTCCCCACCACAGTTCAGAAACAACTCTAGAGTCAGACACCATCACCACCACCTGCTAGCGGTGTCACATTGCACAAGTGACTTGGCTTCACTGTGCCTCGTTTTCCTCAAATAAAAGTGAAAAGGGTGCCTTCCCTACGTGGTTGTGTAAAGGATTAAATGAGAAAATTGTTGTCATTGTTGTGTGCCATTGAGTCAGTGCAAACTCGTAACGACCCTGTATAGGGTTTCCAAGAGCAGCTGGTGGGCTCAGACTATGATCACCAGTCCAGTAGTACATCAAGGCTAAAAAAGTAAGAGATTAAGCACCTAGAAAACACTCAGTGGTGTTACGTTGGAGCTATTGATTCCGAGCATCTGTCTCTCCAGCTGTGAGCCCTCCCCCATCTTGGGGTGTCAGTTTTTGGGGCCTCTGTGTCTGTTTCTGCCTATATATACACATATCCCTGGCATGGCCAACTCAGTCTTCCCTGCTCCCCAGATCAGTTCTTCTGCTATCACCATTTCTGTTCATGCCTCACCTCCTCCCCCTCAGACTGGAAAACTCAGGAGCAGTTTTGACACCTCCACCTCGCCTGTACCTCAGTCCTCCTTCCTTCCCTTCCCTTGAGGAGCAGCTGGGTGAAGGCTTCCTTTGCATCACTGTGGAGACTAAGCCAGAGGATGGTGTTGGGGAAAGGGATGAGGCAAAGGCTAGGAAAAGAGGGAAATGAAGAGGCCACTGCAGAGTTGGGGCAGAAGAAGATGGAGACCAAGGTGGGCAAAGGCAGAGGGATCAGACTTGAGCCAGGTGTGAGTTGGCATAGGGCCATTCCAGGCACGTCTTATGGGTGTGGAGTCCAGGTGCGGTGTCCCTGGACAGAGACGCCCTCCCATTACAGTTTACCCTGGCTCACTGCTTCTTGTCCAGGCCACTGCAGCAGCCTCCCAACTTGCATCTTTCAAGAACCTTAAATATAATTTGGAGTTGTGTTGCAAATGGTTAACACTATTGGCTGGTAACCAAAAGGTTGAAGGTTCAAGTCCATGCAGAAGCACGTCAGAGGAAGGGCCGAGAGGTCTACCTCTGAATAAGCAGTCACTGCAAAGCCCTGGGGAACACAGTTCTACTCTGACACACATGAGTCCGAGTTGACTCGATGACACCGAGTAAATACAATTCAAAAGTTTAACTTCCTAGTTTGTTTATGATCATGTGACTTCAAATTTTTTCAGTAACTTCCCATTGCCGAATGAACCCAAACTCTTTCTTGTCATTCAAGGCCTACCTAGTCTTGCCATATCCTAGAATTCACTTTCTCCCTTGCTGTTCCCCACATGGCTAAAGGCACTCACCCTCACCTACACATGGCACACCAACCTCTCCAAGCCTTCCCTTACTGCTTTCATTCCTCGGCCACAGGCCTCCTCTCCCCACTCAGAAATTCTGTAGATCTTTACACAGCCTGTGTAATGAGTGGTCACACTTGGCTCAATATGAAGGTTATTTCTCCTCTGGCAAAGAAAAGGACATTTATGAAGAAGCTGTGGTACTATACCGGCCTCTGGCTCATCTGGTGTTTACCAGATTAATCCACCAATCAATAGGGGCATACATTGGTTTCAAAAAATTTCTACCAATGATCTAATTTTACCTCTTTGCAGTCCTGTTAGTTCCTTGCGGAATTCACTCTCAGAGAGGCTAGTAACTTGCCTAAGGTCATACAGCTGGTGGAACTGGGATTCAAACCCAGACACTTCTGATTCCCAAGTTCAGGTTGTTATGATTATACCAGTGGCAGAGTCCCTAGAGCCCTGGGTGTGGCTTGCAGAACTGTAATTATTGACATAATAGACATATAATTACTATAAAATATAATTTTGTGCTAGATTAAGCCGAAGTATGATGAGGTGGGTAAGTGAGTGAACTCTGAAGCCATTTTTCCTAGGTTTGTAATCCAGGCGTCACATTTCCCAACTGCAAGCTTTGGACAAACCTGGGGAACCATCCTATTCTCCCATTTCTTTACCTGTAAAATGTTGTGAGGATTAAATGTGTTAATATATATAAAATATTTGGTCGTATAGGTGTTAACTATCAATATTATGTCATATCAGATTCTATTAAGAACACGTGAGGGCAGGATCAGGTTACCACTGTTTGGATATAGTTGCAGACCACAACAGTCGGCCTCACATAAAACCACTGTTACATTTATTGTGCCTCTGAGTTCAGAGAGTCTCCTTTTGTGCCCTCCAGGCCAAGGCATGAACAAGTGTTTGTTAAATGATTGAATGTTAGATGAAGAGATGTCTACTTAGGGACTGCATGGTGGTGGTGGTTATGTGCCGTAGAGTTGGTTCCGACTCATAGCAACTACTGTACAGGGTTTCCAAGGCTGTAAATCTTTATAGGAGCAGAAAGTCTCATCTTTCTCCCACGGGAGAGCTGGTCGTTTTGAACTGCTGACCTCGTGGTTCGCAGCCCAATACGTATCCACTACACTACCAGAGCTCCTTAGGGGCTGCATAGAGACACCATAAACATTGGTCAACAATCCAGTAAAGAACATTAATCGTGCCAGAGGCAAAAGACTTCATGTGCTCTGTTAGTTGTCATCTGTTTCTTTTTACATTCTTGGTAAAGAGAAATGAGATGAAGAAAATATCCCAAGCTGCTTTGGATCCCCTCAGAAAGAGAGATGCCAATTTTAACCTATTAAGAAGGCATTACCTTGAGAGCTCAAGATTACATCTCACAGGTTAAAACTATAAACTCTGAAGTCCATGCATCTTGGAGGAATGTTTGCAGACAGTCATTGCAGTGGCAGGCAGCTACAGCTGTCTCCTTAGTGAAGCATCTTCTCTGGGTAAGATCTCTGAGCTGGTCTTCCTTGAAGCTGTAAGATCAGCGCTCCCCTCCTGGACATTCCTTTCCCAAACAGCTACAGATTATGATAATCCATATTTTTAAGGTCACACACAAGAGTCCTTTTTGTTAGAAATGCATGAGACAGCCAGGGTCTAAAGAAGAATCAGACCTATTTCTTTTTCATACATGGAGCATGTAGTATAATATTCTGCTTCTATAAAAGGGGCTCTGGTAGCGTAGTGGTTACGAATCGGGCTGCGAACTGCAAGGTCAGCAGTTCGAAACTACCAGTTGTTCCGTGGGAGAAAGATGAGGCTTTCTACTCCCATAAAGATTTACAGCCTCGGAAACCGTGTACAGGGTCGCTATGAGTCAGAACCGATTCCATGGCACATAACAACAACAACAACAATAATTGGCAAGGTCAGCGGTTCAAACTCACCAGCCACTCCTCAGAAACCCTATACAGGGTTGCTATGAGTTGGAACCAACTATGACACTTAAAAACAATAAATAATGAAGGAAGATATGGGCTCACGTTTATAATTTTATAGCTTTACCCTTTTCTACCACCTCTTATCTGTCAGTCTGTCATACTGTAGTGACTTGCATGCTGCTTTGAAGCTATGCTGCCAGCATTTCAAATACTATCAGGGTCACCAACAGTGGACAGATTTCCTTGGTGTTTCCAGAATAAAGCGAGGAGAAAGGCCTTAGTGCTCTATTTAGGATAACAGCAGAATATTGTCCTATATAGTACTGGAAGATCAAGCCCCTAGGGTGCACAATGGCTGCAACAGTGAACTCAAATCAGTGATCCTGAAAATGGCACAAGACCCATCAAGGTTTCATTCTGTCGTATATGTTGTCAAGAGTCACAGCTAACTCAATGGCAACTACCAGCATCAGTTTCTAGCTCTAATCGTTAGGTAGCGTAGTGGTTACGAATCGGGCTGCTAACCTCACGGTCAGCAGTTCAAAACTACCAGCTGTTCCATGGGAGAAAGATGAGGCTTTCTGCTCCCGTAAAGACTTACAGCCTCGGAAACTCTGTAGAGTCGACTCCATGGCATATAACTACCACCACCACCACCACCAATATTTAGGTAATTCACCTTTCTGAGCAGTTTTCCATCTTCGTACACAAATGAACATAGAATTTGTGACAATAGGTAGGGATTTGTGACAATGTATGTAGAGAACCTGGAAGATGGTTGGCATCAATACTGTGATAGCTAGCATTCTCTTCTCAGTTATGAATTAGATTTATGTCACCACATTCCAGACCAATTGAATCAGACTCTCTGAGGGTTGAACCCAGGTATCAGTACTTTTTTCCCTTTTTCTTCAATTGTGAAAATACTCACACCAAAACATTCCCCAGCACGACGTCCCCATTTACAATTCAGTGACACGGGTGTCACTGTGCATGTTGTGCCAACATTATTCTTATTCTTTTCCAAAATATTACATCACCATTGCTATTGTTGTGTGCTGTTTCCATTGGTTCCAACTCATAGCAACCCTGTAAATGATTTTTGAGATTGGCTGGTGGATTTGAACTTCTGACCTATGCTAGTAGTCTAGTGCCTAACCTACAGCTCCATACCAGAGCTCATAGACCAATTGAATCAGATTCACTGAGGGTTGGACCAAGTATCAGTACTTTTTTTCCTTTAAATTGTGAACATATTCATACCAAACATTCCCTAGCACAACTTCTACATTTGCAATTCAACGACACTAATTTCATTTCTCATGTTGTGCCAATATTATTGTGATTTTTCCAGCACATTCTCCTACCATTAACATAAAGTAAATGCCCCCCCAAATGCTCATGGTCCCCCTTTCTTTCACTCCTGTTGTTGTTGTTATGTGCTGTCCAGTCGGTTATGATTCATAGGGATGCTGTTTATGGTTTACAAGGAGTGGCTGGTGGGTTTGAACTGCCAACTTTGTCATTAGCAGTCCAGTGCTGATCCTACAGTGTCACACTAGGACTCTTTCACTCCTGATAACCACCAATAATCTTTGGTTTCTATATATTTGTTTATTTCACATGAGTGATATTAGTGTTTATATCACTCAGCAAGCATGTTTTCAGGTGCATCTGTGTTGTGGTACTTCATTTTTTTTTATAGCTGTGGTGTGCTGTTGTAGGATAAGAACTGGACCACAAGGTCTGTTTGAACCACAAGTCCTCAGTTGCGCTCTCTCTCCATGTCCTCATCTCTGCTTCCATCTCTGGTGTCTCTGCTTCTCTGGATAGGGTCCCACATTCCGCTTGTGCTCTTCTTTCTCACTTGATGGTCCTAGGGTCCTCAGTTTCTGGACTGTAAGAATAACTACTCCCCCATTTTTGTTACAAATCTTCTACCTTTACAATTGTGACAGTCACAGTTAGTCATGATACACTTACTCACTATTGAATCATAAGTCTTGTCCTCATCTCTTTTCACCAAACCTGTCTAGATAAAATAAAAACTATTCAGTGGGGATTCTACCTTCCCCTGCACACTCTTAAATTAAACTCCCTCATAAAAACTTGTAAGCCAGTTACTTTGTGCCTTTATCGCCCCCTCATTTTAGGTATCCAATGTCTAAGTTGCCTGTCCCTATCTACCCTGTATATAGAAAGGATAGGATTGATACTTGATGTGAAGATTCCTTTCCTCTAGTTGGTATTTTGAGCTACTACATCCATAAGTACAGGTCAAGTTCATCAAATTGTAGCAATTTACACTTGTTTCCTTTATCAAAAATTGAGTTTTTATCTTCCTCTTGATGAGTTCTGATCATTAAGTCATCAAGGCTAGGTCAAATAGGTACTATCTGCAAGTTTGGGCGTTCTTGTGCGTCTACCCTCACTTCATACCAGCTGGATGCTTCACTCTCAGCTCTAGCCCTCCATGGCTATGTCCTTGTCCATAGGCTCCGGAGTCCCCAGGTCTTACCACACTTTGGACCAACCAGCACTTCCTCTTCTCTCTCTCATCTCCAGGTCAACAAGAGTCTATGGTATGTAGTTGAACTCAGCCTATTTCTTCATTGCTGCCCTTCCCCCTCTTCTACTCACCACTAGACCAACGTGGTCACCAGCAAGCTTACATGCTGGTTCATGTGCTCTCTTTGTGTTTCAGTTTTGGAAGGGGCTTTGTCCTGAAGGGACTTGGTTGCTTGCCTTGATGGCTCCCTGTGTTGCCTTTAACTCTCACACTTCTATCCACATCTTCCTGAGCCTCCTTTGGCCAGCCTTTCTCTTATTGTATATTGCCCTCCCCTTCACCCAAGTTAACAGGAGTCTACACTCTAGCTAATGAATTACTCTCCCTTTCCTCCCACCCCTGGTAATCATCAAAGAATGCTTTCAGTGTGAAAAACTTTTCTTGACTTTTTACAACAGTGGTCTCATACAGTATTTGCCTTTTGTGATTGACTAATTTCATTTAGCATCATGTCCTCCAGGTTCATTCAGGTGTTTCAATGATTGATCATTTTTCTTTAATGTGGAATATTCCATTGTGTGTACATACCAAAGTATGTATCCACTCTTCCATTGAGGGACATTTTGGTTGATTCCATCTTTTTGCTATTGTGAAATGTGAGGTGATGAACATGAGTGTGAATACATCTATTCATGTTGTGGCTTTTATTTCTTTAGGGTATATACCTAGTAATAGGATTGTTGGGTCATATAATATTTCTATTTCCAACTTTTGATGGAAGCACCTTACCATTTTCCATAGCGGTTCCACCATTTTACAGTCCCACCAGCATTAGATGAGGGTTCCAATCCCTCCACACCTTAGCCAACATTTGTTGTTTTCTGTTTTGTTTTTTAACTTTACTATTAATCCTGGGGTGATTTGTATTTGCTTTGATTTGTATTTCTCTAACGGCTAATAATGTCAAACATTTCTTCATCTCTTTATTGACCTCTGGAACGGCTTCTTTGGTGAAGTATCTGTTCATGTCCTAATATTAGAAGTATTTTTAACATTCAAGAAAAAGCAGAGGAAAACAAACAAGCAAAAGGCTTCTAATATGCTATTTGTCTCCCCAGAACCCCCACCGGAGTCCTGGTATTGTGCTGTGGGTTAGTGCGCTGGACTGCAAAGTTGGTTTGAACTGCAAGGTTGGTGGTGTGAGCTCACCGCTCAGCCGCTCCTTGGAAACCCTAGACAGGGTCGCTATGGGTTGGAACTGACTCTATGGCACTTACCAACAACAACCCCCACCGGAAACCAAATCCCTCTGTGGCAGGTGACCTGTGACTGCCCATGAGGCTGCAGGTCTTGTCCTAGCCAACAGATGGCAATGTTGTTTCATGTCTAAGTCCTGCCTTTGTGGTGATTTCATCCAATAGTAATAAAGACTCCATTAGTGCTAAACTCTGGGCAGGAAGGGCCTTAGAGACCACCATGTTCACACCCTTATTTTACAGGCAAAGAACTTGTTCATGTGCCTAAAGCTAAGCCTCAAACCTAGTTCTCTAGTGACTTTTCTACTATGCGCAGCCTCCATTTCTGGAGCGACAATACAGCAAAGGTGGCAGGAACACACAGCCATCCCTGGCTGGTTCTGACTCTGCTGCCAATTTGCTGAACGACTCAGTACATCTGCCTACCCTCTCTGGCTTTCCGTCGCCACTTCTTTAAAATACTGAACTTTCACACACACACATGCTCACATTTTAGTGGGACTTCAGTTGGTCAATCTAGGTGACTGGAAAGGCAGCACTGTGACATCTAGGTGGAGTGCCTACGATGGTTGTGTATCTGTTAAAATAATGAAATGCTGTCAACACTGTGAAAGGCAGCACATGTTAAGATAAAACCTTCTAGGGAAGGAACACTCAAATGTTTTTCACTAAAATGAGTAACAGAAACGTGGTAAAACAGCACCTGTCAAAAGTGGAAAACTTGTGAGACCTGGAAAAACGGGACCATTCTGCTGAGTTCCAGCTTTCACAGGTGTCACTGACCCTCTCTTCCAAGTAGTAAACAAACTGTCACCCCAGCCCTAGGTTTACCAGATAAAATACAGGACAATTTTAGGTAGACAATGGATGAGGTTTTAGTATTTGTTGTTGTTGTTAAGTGACGTCGAGTCAGCTCTGACCCATATGGACCCTGTGAAGGGTTTCCAAGGAGCAGCAGGTGAGTTTGAACCATCAACCCTGTGTAAAAATCAACCTTGTGGTTGAATGCTTATTATAAAGGGCCACACTGGGACTCCAGGTTTTCATATAAGGATGTCCTAAATATTGCCTTAGGAGTCCTGGTGTGACACTGTTGGGTAAGCAAGCACTTGAGTTAGGTCGGTTTGAACCACAAGGCTGGTGGTTCAAACTCACCAGCCGCTCCTCAGAAGCCCTATCAGGGTCGTTATGAGTCAGAACCGACTGATAGCATTTAACAACAACAAACATTACTTAGGACATATTATATTTAAAAAAAATTGTTTTAATTTAACTAGATGTCCTCTATTTTTATTTGTTCATTTTGGCAACCTTTTCCTATTCACAGGGTCCTACCTTCTGTCCCTAGGGGTCTCAGATCTTCACTCAGATTAGTTAGTGCCCCTAAATTTGACTGTCACCCCTGGCTATACAAGAGGAATTAGATGTGTAACAGCTGTTTCTTTTTCTCCCTCCCAGACCTGGCCTTCCTGCTGCCCCCTGCTACCCTAGAAGCCCTGGCAGATGCCTGGCTCCGAGAGGACTGCCCAGGTCTCAACCACACGGCCTTGGTCATCGGAGCAGCTCCCTCACAGGCAGCGTTATGGGCCAAGTCCCCTGGGGTCCTGGCTGGGCGACCTTTCTTCGATGCCATTTTTGCCAAACTGAATTGCCAGGTCTCTTGGTACCTGCCTGAGGGATCCAAGCTGGTGCCTGTGGCCAAGGTGGCTGAGGTCCGGGGCCCTGCCCACTGCCTGCTACTAGGGGAACGGGTAGCACTTAACACACTGGCCCGCTGCAGTGGTGTGGCCAGTGCTGCTGCTGCTGCTGTGGAGGCCGCCAGGGCCACCGGCTGGAATGGCCATGTGGCGGGCACGAGGAAGACCACACCAGGCTTCCGACTAGTGGAGAAGTATGGGCTCCTTGTGGGTGGGGCTGCTTCCCATCGCTACGACCTGGGAGGGCTGGTAATGGTGAAGGACAATCACATTGTGGCAGCTGGTAGTGTGGAAAAGGTGCGTATCTGACTGAGCCCCTGCCCTGGTCCTGATTCAACCTTACCCTCCTCACAGCCTCTACTAGAGACCCTCAGCTACACCTGGAGAACTGTGATAATCTGGGAGTGGGGAGACCAAAGCCTCCTCAACATCTCATTGGTTCCATCTGTAAACTGAGGGCCTAGACTTTGGGTTCTTTATTATCACTCATCTGTTACTTGGCACGATGCTCAAGAGCAGATGGAAAATCATTGGGAATCCTAGTGATAATGGCGCTATGACCCTGGGCAAGTCACTCGAATTCTCTGGACCTCCGCTTCCCCATCTGTGAAAATGTTCTTGGTAATTTCATGTGGTTTAACCTAATAGAACTAAAAATATCCTTCAACTTCCTCATTAACCTCAAACTTGAATGCCAGTCCCAGCTTCCTATATCCCCTGCACCCTTCACCCATAATCCTCCCTCCTCACACGCTGGTCCCCCTGACAGGCGATACGAGGGGCCCAAAGGGCAGCCAACTTCATTCTGAAGGTGGAAGTGGAGTGCAGCAGCCTGCAAGAAGCTGTGGAGGCAGCTCAGGCAGGAGCGGACCTTGTCCTGCTAGACAACTTCAGGCCTGAGGTGAGGACGCTGCTCCCTGGGTAAGGGCTGCATTGCTGTGGCTCTCACCTCCTCTTTGTTTGTGTCACACAGGAACTGCACCCCACAGCCGCAGCACTGAAGGCCCAGTTCCCGAACATAGGTGTGGAAGCCAGTGGGGGCATTACACTGGGCAACCTCCCTCAGTTCTGTGGGCCCCACATTAATGTCATCTCTTTGGGGATGCTGACCCAGTCTGCCCCGGCCCTTGATTTCTCCCTCAAGTTGTTTGTTGAAGGGACCACACCAGTGCCCTATGCCCGCCGGTCCTAAAGCAGAAGTGGATGGTACTGGGTGTAAAATAACATGGTTTGCTTGGGAACCTCAAGGTTGAACATCTTTGAGTACTGTGATCTGGGATCCCATCTGGCTCCACCCCTTCACCTTTGCCCTCCTCAGTGTCCTAATCTGTAAAATGAATCTAATAAATGATTAATCCTTATGAGGACTTGGGGAGAAATAATTTAATAAGATGGTTGGTATAAAATGCTTAACACAGTGTCTGCCACGGAGTAAGCACTCAGTAAAAGTTAAAGAGATCACTATAGTTTGTCTATTTCAAGATGCACATTTGTTTCTTCATTTAGTACTTTCTCTGAAGTCAGGTGCATCTTTTAATCATGATGTCTCTGCTGGGCAGCTAGCTATTGGCACACAGCCAAACTTCTTATTGTGAACTGCGTGAAGGTTTGCAGGGCAGATCATCAGTTTTAAATTCAATAAATCACACATTTGGTTTCATTTCAATGATTGCAATCCCCTCCATGTAACAAGTTATCCTACTTCCTCTCTGTGCTTCCAATTTTCATTCCACCCTCCTTCCCAACCCCTTTGAACCTTGTTCCCAGGTAAATGTTACCTTTTTGGTCTGGAATGGCTGACCATTCCATGGTGAGCAGACCTCACTAGTGTTGTCTTCCCTGTATACCTATCCACCGCCTGGTTGAAAATTGGGCCATGAGGGTGAGTTCCCTCTAAGTCCTTAAGGGTGACTGAAGATCATAGTCTGAGGTTCCTCCAGTCTCTTTCTAATCAGTAAGCCCGGTCTTTTTTTTTTTTTTTTTAATGATTTTGAGTTTTGTTTCACATTGTCTCCCACACTATCCAGGACCTTGTAGTATAGCATATAATTTTGTTTTCCTTTCATGTATGCACAAGAGTAAAATATGGTAAACATCTATAGTTAAAATAAGTCCAAAAGAGCTCTTTCAACAATTATAAAGCAAAAATCGCATGTGAAAAGAAAGCATTGGTTGTAGTTTAATTAGCAATTTTCCTTTTCAGAGGTAATATGTGTGTTTGACAATCAATGGCATCTTATACTTGAAGATATGTGATATCAGGTCTAAACTTGAACTGGAACATTCCATTTGACTGATTGATGCCCATGACGTTCTAGTTATTTAGTATTTTGCCTCTCACTTCTGGTTTATTATCTCTTTGTTGGAGATGAGGATTTGTCCATGCCTCACTTTCAGGTTCCCTAACTCTGCTATGGTTACTCCCAGGATGGAGAAACCCCCTCCATTCTGTTCTGAAGACCTTTTAGTGACTGATCCCATGGGAGTAACCGTTGGAGGAGGATGTTGGAAACGGAACAACTGGGGCCAGAGCAAAGATCATCCAAGGAAGTGGGGGATGGGGTAGGTGGGGGTCCATTTTCAAGCTTCAAAATTCCTTCCTCAGTAAATTAGGGCTTGGAGGCCATTATTCTTCAATCCAACAGAGGATTGAAGACCAGCTCTCCAAACACAAGCATATCTGAGGTCCCCGCTCACCTTGGGGTCTACCTCATCTCAAGCCTTCTAGGGTGGCTCTGGGAGGAACAGGGGTCTGAGAAGTGTCTAAGGTGAAGATGGTCCCCAAGGTGACTCCGCCCAGAAGGCCTGCAGTCTGGGGCTGCCTTTCCCATCCCAGAACTAGCTCTTATCTCCACTTTTGTCTCCACAAAAGCTCTTCCTTCAGGGGGCTTCTGGGGGTCCCCAGCTACCTTGATGAAGGTGGCTCACCCTTTTCCTCCTCAGTCCTGGAACCAGTGAGGAGTCTGAGAAAGGGATAAATAAAGAAAACAGCTTTATTTATCCTTCATCCTTCACTAAACAATCACGCACTCAGCACTTGCCACATAGGCTCGGAGCACCACAATCTCTTTAGCAGAGAATCTGGTGATGTCCTCAACTGAAGGGGGTCATTCCCATGAGATAAAGCCTAGAGGGACCACCTGGAGCTGCACCTGTCTGCTCTAATCCCCACCTCTACCCCTGATCCTGCCCTCTCTCCAGGGCAGACCTGCTTCATCAAGAGGTTGCTTTCCCTACCCCAGAGAATATAGGCCTTCCTGCCCCAGCTTCTCATACTCGAAGATAAGAGCTAAACCTCCATAGAACCAGGAGAACTTCCTGGGCAGGGAAATTAAGGCTCATGGGCAAGTTAGGAATAGAATAGAATAGGAGAGGACAGGACATGAAAGGACAGGACAGAATAGAATTAGAATAGAATAGAATAGAATAGAATAGAATAGAATAGAATAGAATAGAATAGAATAGAATAGAATAGAATAGAATAGAAATGGAATTCAGGAGAGATTCTGGCTCTAATTGGGGGATCCTGGTGTGGGCACTGTAGGATAGGCATTGGACTGTTAACTGAAGGTTGGTGATTCAAACCCTCAGAAACACTATATAGGGTCGCTGTGAATCAGAACTGACTCAATGGCACTTAACAACAACAGGGGCAGAAGCAGGTGGGAGTTGCCAGGAGTTATAAATCCTCTATGGTCTAGTTATAAATCCTCTAGTTAAGATAAATGGACAAAACTGGAATGAGACTAAGAGGGGTGGGCTGTGACCAAATGGAGAATGTATATTGTACCCACAGATATTTCAGTTAAAATACATATTTTTAAAAATCCTATGGAGGGTTTCCAAGCAGCAGCTGATGGGCTTGAACTGCTGACTTTGTGGCTCACAGTCCAGTGCTGATCTTGCAGCACATACCAGGAGTCTGTAACTGGGTAAGGGATGCCAGTACCAAAGGAAAAGGGAATGAATTCTGGGCAGGCAAAAGCAACCCATTCACTCTCTTGCATTGGAGTGGATTTCCTGAAAGAGGAAATTACAGGGCAGAAACCCAGAGGTGGGAAAACACCTGGATTGTTCGGTGTAAGAAGGGCAAGGTGGCTAGGAAATTGCCTGGATCCAGACCACAAACTGGTAGGTCAGAGGTCTTGGACTCTACCCAAGAGCAATCAAATTTAAACTGAGAAGTGACATATGCATATTTGTCATTTAGATTGCGTCTGCTGCAGAAAGATGCATTTTAGGAGGCCAGAGTAACTGTAAGGAAACCCACCCAGATGGCTTGAATGTTATGTATGTGGTGTGAGGCAGAGAGAGTGCAGACAGAGGAAACAGCATCTGCAAAGGCTCAGAGGGCAGGGCAGTAGGCAGATTGGGTGTAGCTGCAGAGGTGGCCAAGAGGATGGAAGGAAGAAAATAGATCTCACACCTTGTCTTGTGGCCCGCTTGTTGTTGTTGTTGTTAAATGTTGTTGAGTCGGTTCTGACCCATAGCCACCCTGTATAGGGTTTCCGAGGAGCAGCTGATGAGCTTGTACCACCAACCTTGTGGTTCAAACTGACTTTGCAGTCCAGAGCATTAACCCAGTCAGACTCCACTGTCTGACTGCATTTCCTCCTTGCCTGGTCTGCCTGGGGCCAGGTCTGAGTCATCTCCCCAAGCTGCCCTGTATCCAGCACAAAACTCATGCCCATCATGGCAAATGTGCCCATCCAATCAGTTACTAAAGGAGAATGATGGATGTGCCGCAGTCGTATCATGATCTGGCGGAGGAGAGCCTGGACCCAGCAGGTGTAGGCTCCCCATCTTACCCACAGACACAGAAGCTTTACAAAGAGAGCTGCCCAGGATCACACAATGCTGAAGTGGTGGCACAAGGTTTGAAATTGGTGTATTTCACTCATTCAGTGACCATTCATTAATGCCAGCTATGCACCAGACACTATTCTAGATGCTGGACATGCAGCAATGAATAAACAGACACAAATTCCCATTCTCATGGAATTTATATTCTAGTGTGGGGTGGTAAGGGAAGAGAAATTCAACCCAAACCCACTGCCATTTGGTTGATCCCAACTTGTAGTGATCCTGTAAGACAGAGTAGAACCGCTTCCCAGGGTTCCTGAGACTGCAAATCTTTGTCGAAGCAGACAGCTTCCTCTCTCTCTGACGGTGTGGCTGATGGATTCAAACCGCTGACCTTGCTGTTAGCAGTCTAGCACTTCACCCACTACAGTACCAGGGCTTGTAGAGATTGGAACAGACAATGAAAACTTAATTAAAAAAAAAAAAATGTATATAGAATATGAAATGTCAAATCCCACATGACCATCAGAGGGCACTGCACCCATCCATACCTTCCATTCTTGGATTATAGTTCAAGGTCTGTTTTAAGGAACCCTGGTGGTGCTGTAATTAAAGCACTCGGTTGCTGGGTTACACTCCTGTACCCACCAGCTGCTCTGTAGGAGAAAGCTGTGTTGTTTGTTTCCATAAAGATTTGCAGCTTTGAAAACCAAAGGGGGCAGTTCTACTGTGTGCTATGGGATTGCTTTGAGTTAGACTCAGCCCCAGGGTAATGGGTTTTTTGCCTGTGTTTCAAAGACAATGATCAAGGAAGCTACGAATGAAACCTATGAGGGAAAAAGCAGCAGTTCCTTCTTCGACCCATTTTTCCAGCTTAATCTCCTCTTTAGATCCCCACACCCACATACCCAAGGGCCTATGTACTCCAAGGATTCCTGGTGTGGCACTGTAGGATCAGCACTGGACTGCAAACTACAAGGTTAGTAGTTCCAACCCACCAACTGTTCCTTGGAAACCCTATACTGGGTCGCTATGAGTCAGAACTGACTCGATGGCACTTAAGAACAACAGTAGACTCGAAAGCTCACCAAGGACTCACAAATATACATCAGTTCACTTACCAAGCCTTCCATTTACCCATCCGTTCATGTTTCCATCTACCCTCCTGCTCACCCACCTGCCCTATCCTATCCACCCATTCTTCTTCCTAACTTCCCATGAATGGATCTATCCAGTGCATTAGAGCTTAAATTCTAAAGCACTTGGTCAATAGTGGGAGCCCTGACTCCATTTTGAGTTGACATAATTTCAAATATCATTTGAATTCTTCCTGTTGTTTCCCTAATGCTCGCTGGCAGGTTGCCCTCACTTAACAGAGTGGTTAAAAGT